TCTGTCTGTCTGTCTGTCTGTCTGTCTGTCTGTCTGTCTGTCTGTCTGCATGCTTGCATGCATGTATGCATGCATGTATGCATGCATACCTATATGTACACAAACTCTCTCTCTCTCTCTCTGTATAATATAATTGTATATATACATATGCACACATGACAGGTGTTTTCCACATGTATACACGTTCGCTGTATGCAGACATGCGTACATACATATATACATACATACATCTTCCCACGCCACGAAAGAATCCGGGCTGCGAGCTCGGCAGCACTTGGCCGGCATCTCTAGGATGCGTACTGGTTATTCCAGCACCCTCTTTCTGCCCCTTTCTGCAAGTCGCACCCTTACTTCAAGACGTTGACTAAACACTACATGCGACATAACAATCGGAGACTACAACCATGTAGTCACTGTAGTCATGCCCCAAAGACAGCGTAACCTCACGTCACCGGCCCGGCGTGTTCCGCCCCTTTCGCAACCGGAGCGGGTGCGACCGCTCCTTAAATTTCCCCGGAGGGATCTTTGCTAAAGAGGATCAAAAAGCAATGTGATGTCCTAAGCTGTGATTCTCCTGAGTTCACTGTCTTGAAAAGCCCTCACACATGACCATAACTAAATAGGCTCGCCCAACAACAACCCTAGTTGGAACTCAGTCAGGTTCACCTGTGCTGTTGCTGTGCGCTTGATGCCGACGCCCTATGCATTAGAATCAGGTAAGCATTATATATATGTATATATACGTACATACGTACATACATGATCATGCATGCAAACATACCTACATAGATAAATGCAAGCATATGTTTGTGCTCACTCACTCACTCACTCACTCACTCACTCACTCACTCACTCACTCACTCACTCACTAAATCACTCAGTCACCCATTTCCTTCCTTACTTGCTTACTTACTCACTTCGTTACTTGGTTACATACTTACTTACTTACTTACTTGCTTACTTACTTACTTACTTACTTACTTACTTACTTACAACCTTACTTACTAACTTGCTTGCTTACTTACTTACTTACTTACTTACTTACTTCCGTACTCGCTTACTTACTTGCGTACTCACTTACTTGCTTGCTTGCTTGCTGGCTTGCTTGTTTGCTTGCTTACCCACACTTGCTAATTGCTTTCTTGCTTGCTTGCCTGATCGTTGGCTTGCTCACTTGACTTGCTCACTTACTTACCTACTTACCTACTTGCACACATATATGCGCATAATATACATACATACATGTTTGTTTGTGTGCATGTGCGAGCAGTTCAATACAGGCAACGTAATCTGCCATGCAAGAACACCCCGCAGTTCTCAACCGTAGAAACATCAGACTGAAGCTTGTAGGCTATGGTGTAATCCATCGCGGGTCGCAAGCCAAGATCGACGGGTTGCAAGGCTGCACAAAGAGTTGGTGCAGGGCCTCCGGGGTTTGGGATAAACTAGCCAGGAATAGGAATCTTTGTAAGTTCAGCAGGAGTTCCGGCAAAGCTGTTTCGGACCGTAGTACTTAAAAGCTGCATTAAAGTTAGAACATGCAAAATGGATGTGCAGTGCGCCGTTTCTGTTGTTCAGGCTTTCGGGTTTGGGGGTGCAGGAACACCCAAGTTTTTTGGACATCTTGCGAGATGTCACACGCATGGAAAGGAGCAACACAGAGCTCGCGTCTTGAGGATGTAGAGAGTGGGGGTCCTGGTCAAGATTTACATCGCCCAGAGCTGCAGCACCTCTTCGACAGGGCTAAAGGGTTGGGACATGCAAGACATATGGCAGACTCGGGTAAAACCTTCAGACGTGCACTCTCAAGCTGCCCCAAGCGCTGCATGTACAGCATTTGCACCCGACTGAGGCAGAGCAAGAAAATCGAGTAGCCCGGCGCGTGCTGCAAGATCTCAGACCAGTTTTCCGATGTGTTTGCAGTCGCCAGCAGACGAACACAGCATCAGTAAGATGCAGGCATGTGGAAGCTCCTGCCTGAGACTAGCCCCTAGGCCCTAGATTATCTAGGCTATCGGGTGCTGCAGACAGTCTGGCAGCAGGAGCGGCTTCCGCCAATCCGTAGAACGTAATGGTGTGTGAGTGCCACTATGCCCTACCCTGACATCATTACATGCTGCAGCAGTACACTGCCACACGGAAGTGCAGCGTCAAGCAGCCAGAGTCACTGAGTCGAAAGGCGCGCCCACGCTGACCCCACACATCTTGCCAGAAAGATGCAGATTTCTTTTAACTGCTGTAAAGTCAGCATTCGTCGAATGCAAAGCTTGAAAGATCTTGCAAGGGTGTGAGAAGGATGCGGGTTCAAACCCTTGAAGCGGATTCGGTGGTTTGTGTCGATGGCTTCCCAAGTTGAGCTGAATTGAAAAGCTGGTTCGGCTGGCTCTGGAAAGAGAACTTCGCGGCGATAAGGCCAAAAGACGTGCTGGCCAAGGAAGCTGGGCCGGCCCAGGCCGACCAGCGTGTTTGCGTGCCGGAACGAGACAGTGTGCATCCATGTGGAATGCGGAGTCTGCAGACTGTTTAGGCCATGCTGCTATATACACTGCCTTGAAGCATTCTGTCCGAAGTCTTGTCAGTCTTGTCATTTGGCAGGCTTTTCCAGCGCGGCATGTAGCGGGTCGGCCAGCATCGACCAAGGTGCTCTAGCAGAGCCCAAACGCATCATCTTCCTGCTTTCCGTCAGTCTAGCGAGGACCTTGCTCCTGACCCGTGGGGTGTACCCGCTTTAGCCCCTTTTTTGGCACGGTGCACAAGCCAAAAACTCTGACTAGTTTGGCCCCCGAGCCGTTTTGCACAGTGGTTGCAGGTTTGTGCCCACTTGGTACAACAGCCTTTGTAGAGACTGACTGAATCAGATAGCAGCTATTTACTGTCAACATTGATTGATGCAAAATCCCAGCCGTCGATGGCTACCGGCCAGGCCCCGCCGCTCTCCGTCCAGCCGTGCACATAGCCCTGCAGCTGTGCACTGCTTGGCTAATTAAGCCAGTCACTCTACTGCGGCAGTGCTGGGATCAAGCTTGAGCCGGGGAAGCAAAGCATCCCAGCCAAAGGTCGTTCGACTCCTTGGAGCAGGTTTGGAACGAGTGGACGCTCCTTTGTATACTCGGGCTGCTTGGCAAAACCAGCTCGACACCATACTCCCACGGCATGCAAAGCTCATGAGCCCATGGCAGAACTTGTGGAAGGCTCGTCGCCATCATGCTCACAAGCATCATCACGGCAAACAAGAGGCGCTGGCTGATAATTGGCAGCATCCTATATACACGAAGGCTAGCTCAGCATGTGTCAACGTGGTAGCAATGGCCTTTGTGTTGACAGCGATACTGGCAACAGGTGTGACATCTGGGACCAGACTGTGAGAGTTTAGGGCTTAGGGCCCAAGCTCAAAATTTGGCAGTGCACGGATTCTGCGCAGGAGCCAGCCGGGCAACATCAGCTGGGGCCCTAAACAGCATTGTCTTTACCGCTGCAGCTCTTCAACATAAGGCTGCGAGCAGGAGAGTCAACAAAAGGATAGCCTGCACGGTCGAAGATCTCAGTATGCCCCACATGTCGCCTATGGTTGCACCTCGAACTTCGAAAGCCTTCTTCACATCCCTCGCTGTGCTTGTGCTCATTTCGCAGGTCGGCTGCTAGAGCTTGAGACGTCGATGCCTCGGGACGACTGCTTTAGATCCTCAGTTGTGCAAGGTCTTACACGTATACGTACTTCAACACCGTATTATCGAACAGAGGCAACCCTCAGAGCAGGGCATGGCAGCCAAAAGTTCCGGGTAGCTCATTTGTTAAGATTCACGACAAGCACCCTCAGATCTTGGACTAGACGTTCCCTGCCCTGAAAACAGTGCAAGCACAACCGATGGAAGATTGACGGAACACACTCTGAGGCGCTGGCGGCTGACGGGATCCAGCACCGCAGGCAAGTTGTTGAATTTGCCGTGCGATTTGCTCGTCCCAGTTCTGGCAGGGTTGCAGCAAAAGAAGCCTAGACGGGCGCTGGCTTATCAATTGCTTCTGGGTACATGCACTCGAGAGACACTTGTGTGACCAGTGTAGGAGGCTTGTGGCTGTCGTGCGGTGGAGCGTCTTCCTGCGGTTCTTTTCCGAGCTCATATGCGAGGCAGCCTGTCGCTGCTCCGCCAGGCTGCGGAAGTGCACACGCTACTTGGCGCAAGCGAAGGGCAGGGAGGGGCGGGGTTCTTGGTTTGGGGCGGGCTGCTGTTTCCAATGCGTTGAGCTGTGAGTGAGGTAGATTCTTCGGTTACCGCTGCTTGTGAACAGAGCTGGGGGCTAGTGGCTGTGGTGTGAGGGTCGGCACCGGTAAGTACTTGAGCGTCCATGCCGAAACAACTGGACCAATGCACTCAGCGGTTTAGATGTCCACCAATTGACGATGAATTGAAAAGATTCCAGATCCTAAGCCCACAGCGCAGGCACACCAGAGAGACAGGCATCACACAATTTTCACAGCCAAGGAAAGACCAGCCAGTTCAAGCTAGCCGCGAGGCTTGGGCATGCGGTCCGCACCCGGCACCCTCCGGTCTGGAACTTCAATCATACGATCTCGAGTGGGAACTTCAGATTCAAGCTTGCCAAGACGAGATCGTGGCTGAGATGTAACTTCAGCATCTGAGCCCGGCAAGCGTCAGAGGACCTGAGCGTTTGGGATGGCACGGCAAGAGCCTCGGGAGTCCGGGGCGACCAGAGAGCCTGCATAAGACAGAGGTCAGAGGTCCATCCCATAAGCTCGACGTCCCCACACGGCTTTCCGAGGTCGCCCTGTTCTCCTGTTTGGTCGGAACAGGCCGGCTGACTGAGCTAGGATAGAATCTTGATGAATCTTGCAAAGGCTTCTGCGTGAACTGCCTTCCAAGACTACCACGAACGCCAGACGCACCAGTCTAGAAGCCCATGCAGGGCATCAGTCATCGTCGCCATCCCTTTAAGCAGCGCAAAAACAAGCCTGAACTCCCTTGCATCGAGGCCTGCTGGCCATGCCCTACGCCTTCTCGCTGGCCTTCACCCCGAGTGGTCGTCGTTCAAAGAAGTCTATGCGATTGTGGGGAGTCTTCTAGGGCTGCGGTTGCCTCTTCGTCGAGAGAATGCTGATTTTGATCGGCTCCGCAGATTCAGAGGATTGGCCCTCCTCAAGCTCTTACCCTTGAGGCTGGGATGATCGCGGCGCCGCTGGTTGTCTTCTTCGCACCTTGGCAGCGACTGGGCAGAGGGTTCAGCGGGATCATGAAATCCGACCTGCAGGTTGGATGCTCGGCGTACACTGCCAACCTCATGGTCCAAGCAATGCAGGCCGAGGTTCCTGGACCATTGCTGCAGGACATTGACCGACATTGTTTCGAGACGTGATGACCGAGACCGTGTCAGTTTTAGATGGAATAACTCTGGTCCCGTGAAGTCGACAAGGGAGCCTCCTTGAAAGCTTTTCGGTTCAGAGTCCCGCCTTCTCACAGCGATTGCTCGACACCGCTCCCCGTTTGGCGTGAGGATTCAGCGCTCTGTTCACACTGCGGTGGATCTTTGCTCCAATCGTCAACGCCATGCTGCGCGAGAAGTAGATTCCACAACACCTTTGGTGGTCCCGACACGCGCCCTATAGATTTCTGTTCGTACTAGTACCTGCTGTCTTGAATTGCTGTATTTGCCTGTGCGGAGGCTACGAGGCAGTGTTTGCCGCCTTGTGGATCTCGCACAGCCCGGGTGGTAACGCTGGGTTTCAAGCTCAGCCAATCTGCCGTCCAGACTTGGCATGTTCTCAATGTTTGCGTTGGATCAGAGGTGTTCATTTGGTCTTGAATGGTTTTGACGTTTCATCGCATACAGCCGGCTAGCATGAGCAGGGCAGGTTCCATCTAGATTCAACATCAGAACCAGCCTGGCCTATCCTCAAGTTTTCTCGTGGCCCATGCACACAATTGCAACCTGTTGATGCATCTGTTCTTCCAGCATTTGTCCAGTAGGACAGGCAGAGTCCGCGTGCGCACTTTTGTGGTATGATACGTCCCTTTTTTCCACATGTTAGGACTTCTAGGTTTGCAGCATCGCACACACTGTTGCCCTGCCAAGCTTTCTCGACATACGACATAAGATAAGAAACTAATCAGTGGCCCTGCCACACTTGTCGAGGCTTTACAACATGTTGATTTCAGGTAGGTTTTAAGCCAGGCTCCTTCCACACGTTTCGGAAAGTGGTGGAGAGGTCCAAGAAAAGAGGCTCATGTAGGAAGGCCTTGAGAAGGGTCGCCGGAACCGGAAAAAATCGCCTTTCCGAGACTGGGCGGCGCTGGTGAACGCTGCCTTCGGATCCCGGGCGGCTCGCTCTGAGTACCTTAGGTTAGGCACAGGAGCAGCCATTGGATGTTTCATTGAAGTTGAGGGCAGGCTGGTCGATTCTGGGGTGCTGCCCGGGGAATTCCCGATAGACTGTCACGCACCAGGTCAGGTAGGTGACGGCTGTGGCGACGTGTAGAAGATTGCACTGTTGCTGTTCGTCCGCTGTTCGTGCGTATTGTGTTGTAATTTGTTGCGGCAGATGTCTCAGATGCCGTGCTACAGGATCTGGTGAGTCAGTGGATTTGATGCAGCAGTATTTCTAAGGGAAGCGCCCTGGCTTCGTGTGCAGTTTCTGCGTCTCGGGGGGGGGACGTAGTTATGCACCTGCGTGGGACTGGGCTTGTTGCACCAACTGCCATCCCTAATCTGAATTTCACGCAAGATGCCACCTTGAGTCAGATTGATTGCTGAAATTCGACGTCGAAAGGTCTGTAATTGGCATTGCCATGCCGAGGCCCGAAAAGCTGTGGAAGTTTTCCTTATCGTCGAACTTTGGGGCCCTTTGGCTGCACCTGATCTGGGCCTGGGTTCTGTGGCGTCACGGGCTGATGGCTTCGGGGTTCGTGCTTCTTGAGGAGCACTTCGGTGTGTCGGGACAACGCGTTCTGATGTCGATCGATCGTGAGCCTCGGACTGTAGCCTGATTCGACGGGTTCAACACGGCATGTCATTGATTGGCCCACAAAGTGGGGCGCGTAAGCAGGAGTTTAGCTGCGAAAGGCATCGACCACCACACCAGATTTCCACGGCACGTCCCCTGGCATGGCTCACAGGATACCTGCTGAGCACGGCCGCCTGGGGCCCGGCACCAGCAGAACCAGCAGGGATGGAGCACGGCCACAGCGCTCGAGGGTGCCTTCGATTTCTCGACCTTGTGTTTAGTCACTTGGGAATCTTGGCTTGTTTGGTCCCATGGGGGCTGCCACAAAAAATGTTGTCGAGCCCTCCGCCCTGCATGCACCGCTCGATGAAGCTGAGGTTTAGGGTGGCAATCTTCGTTGAAGTTTGGACCTTGCTGCCAAGAGGTCTGTGCTTCGATGAATGTTGCGCAGCTGCTCAATGTCTCGGCCGCCCCGGCAGTGCCTTTGTTTGAACCAGGATGCTTGTGGCTTGGGGAGTTTCATGTTGTTGAAGGCCGGACAGGGTGAACATGCACGGCTCTGACATCGCAGTAGAGATACAGCATTCAAGGTTCGTATTTCAAAGCTCGCGCAGGTGTTCATGGCCGCGGATGTCATGGATGGATAAGAGTTGTTGATGGGTCTCGGGTCTTCTCGATGATGTTGGAGTTGCCGGCAGGCATCGACGGCGATGCCGGGCTTCGCAATCGACATGAAGTTTGTAGCACTTTGTATCTTGCATGTTGGGCGCCGCCAGCCGCGAAATCCGAGATGCAAGCCGAAAGTAACATCCCGGGTGCATTGAAGAGCGTCGAACCAACAAATGTGGGCATTGACCGTCACCTGTCCGTGAAACTCGAGCGTAAGGTAGCAGTGGCCGTTTGTGGCGCTTATGCACTGACTTTTGCCCGATGCCCAGCTTGCGCTTCTCGAGTTGAACAGACGGCTTCGTAAAGAATCTTGTGAAGACAGCGCTGTGGCAGAATCCGAAGCGTGCTATCCTGTACTCTGAATTGAATTGACGGTTCACACCCGCCCTGCTCTGCGTGTTTCGCAGGAGATCCCGATTTCACGGCGTCGCCCTGAGGTCCCTGCCAAAGTCCTGACGAAGATCAACGCTTCCCCCTCGGTCGGAATGCTTTGCTGCAGGACCCTTGCTACAAGTGCATGCATCGACTGCTCTCATCCAAGCCGGTGCCTTGTTCGCTCGTCTTTGGCTCAGCACCGGTTTTAGTCTGGGTTGCCGCGCCGCTCAAACACCATGGAACGCCGAATGACCCTGCTGGTAGAATTCCTGAGCCCAGAGAGCCCCTAGCATTTTTGGCCACCTGGCATATGTCAGAATCGGACCGGCAAGACCCTGCATTCTTTTGGGCAGGGCTGTGTTTTCGATCTTGATCGGTGGGAGCATCTCCCAACAAATCCTGGCCATGGCTTCGAGAGGTGTTTGTGCGGTCGTGGGCTGCGGGCCTGGTATGGGAGGCAGTCGGCAGAAAAGAGCAGTTGCATTGGCTGATGTCACTGTCAGTGTCTTCGGGACGAAAGAAGGTTTGCAGATGTTTGCAGCCTTTGCCTTTGGGGGGCAAGTCTGAGCTGAGGAATTCAGAACCTGGCTTGCATGCATATCTCATAGATGCATTCCATTCATCTGCATCGTCCACGGCCTCGACATCAGTGTTTCCTTGGGGAGAATCATGTGGCATAGGTGTTCAGGACAGTCGTCCATCCAGACTGAATCGCAGTTAGAATTAGAATCACTTAATTGGATCCAAAAGCCTTCACCAGTGAAGCAGGGGTCGTGGAACAGTGTGGCGACTCCAACCCTGCATGTGCTCCGGCCCCACAGGCTGCTGCCCTCACACCCCCCCTAGTCCAATGAAACGTGTGTAGCATCAGTGTGACGAAGGCAGTGCTGCGATCAAGTTCGCAAAGGTGGGAATCGGTTTTGTGCACGGCGGCCTCGGGTTGTGCAGCACGAGGCTCTTCTTTGAGGCTCAGGCTTGGGAGGGCCGTCTGACTTAATTCAGGGTGGAGCGGGGCAGGTCAAGTCCTAGCAGTTTGCTTGGAGCCGCGGTGCAGCGGTAAATGATCACTCGCAGGAGGGCTACCAGATCGCAGCCATGTGCCGAACCGCTTCCAGCTTTGAGCCAACGGCTACAAGGTTGAAGGCCACCATGCCCGCCTCAATTGTCTTCTTTTTCAGTCTCTCGGATGTTGCCAGAGGAGATGGGAGCCCACTACGCCTTCTTCGAGATGGACGCCACGGATAAGGCCCGCCGCCAAAGACTTCAGGAATCCAGCAGAGCAGAGCAGAGCAGAGCAGAGCCGAAGGGCCGAAGCTGCGCGGCTGAGGCCTCCGTCGCCTCGGCTTTCGGCGCAGCCGCCAAGCAATTGGGCCCTGTGGACGTGCTGGTACCTCGGCTTGCCGAACCCGTTCGGCGAAGTTCGGTGGCTTGTGGCGCGTGGGGCTGTTTGTGGCACTTGTATTTTCGCAACCACTAGCCGTTCGCCGCTGCAGCAGTCCCGCACCCGCAAATTCTTTCAGAGATGGTAGCTGAGGTGTACAACTGTGGCGGGGGCGGATTCGGCATCTCGATCATGGACATCGATCCTGACCGGGGGCTGGGGCTGCAACGGGTTGGCGGTCGGCGGATCAAAGGAACACCATGACTGCTTGAGCAAGGGCTAGCGGCTAGAGTGGCTTTGACTGATGCCGGAGGAAAACGAAGGTTGAAGAGCAGCACTAAAATTCGGAGGTCAAGACATCGTGAAGGGTCTTGGCTTTCGTGTGCAGTTAAGACAATTCAGGCTCTCACACCATAGACACTGTTTGCAAGCTGTTGAGCTTGCAGAGTTGACGGCTCTCCTGCTGGGTTATGGTGTGATGTGGTGGTGCGGAGTTGGCCGCAGGCCACGACAAACCAAGCGTATCCACGTGGGCTCATGGGCACGAACGGCACTCATTCAAAATTGGTCTGCGAAGGTCGGCCGAAGCTTCATTTTTTGATTCTGGGCTCGGGCCCAACACGTACCACCTGGCCTTCCAAGCTCCGACTTCTGTAACGAGAGTCTGCAAGGAGACCTTCAAGAAGTCTTTCGATGCCTCCTGCGTTGGCGCACTCCTCTGCTCCCAGGCCAGGTCTTAACATCAGGATTTAGGGTCGTCAAAGACGCGGGTGGCTTGCTGAGTCCCAACAGTTCCAACTGACGGAATGTGGATCTTTACAGAGTCAACCGATGTGTGCAGGCAGTGATTCCAGGCATGCTGGCGCGAGAGGGCGGCGGAGATTTCGCCGTGAAGAAGCGTGGCACGCAGCTAGGTAGCAAGGCCTCGCATGTCTAAAGAACCTATGTGGAAGTGTCCATTTTGGAACAGTGCATTCAACGATCGTCCGATGGATCTTGTGGCCTGGTGCCTCATACTGTGGCAGCTGCATTCTGAGGCTGATCTTCTCATCTGCCACATCGGCCTTCAGGGGCGGTAGCGGCACGGCACAGTTCGCATGCGGCAAGCACGCTCTGAGGCCATGTGAGGGACAGTGGGACTGTGTTTTGGTCGCTACACGGTTTCGGGCTCCCGGTTTCTCTGCTGAGCAGGAACTTTGGTCTCGAGAGACTTGCTCGTAGCGAGCCTGGATGCGTGAGTGACATGACGGGAAGCCGCCAAGAGGTAGAGCCGGCTTCCTGGAGTTCTCCCATTTTTGCTTGGCCGCCCCTGGCCGGGATTCAGATGTCATTGCAGCCCCTGCTTCAGGGCCTTGTCACAGTCCATTGCAAAGGAGTGACTTGGCATGGCGAGCATGGCGTCTTACAGGATGTTCGGGTCATCGTGTAGATTCTAGAATGCTGTGCGGTTTGTACCATGAGACACGGACTTGTCCCTTCTGCAATCGGCTCCTCAGACCATTGCTACACTAAGGCGGGTCTGAGAAAGCAACGATGTCACATCCAGCAAAGGTAATGAACCCTGCAACCGAAGAGACCAGTGATCAACTTCTCGCTCTGCGCTTTAGTCAAAGCTTGCCTGGACTTGTGACCTTGCCTCCAGTGGCTGACACGAAGCCCGGCCATCCTCTCCCCAAAAGAAGCCGACGCGCACAGTCGGCCCAGGTATGGCAAGCAGGGAATTCACGCCGTACATGTCCGCCTGGAGCCTTGGGCCTTGACTACCGTGAGCCCAGACAACACGTCTTCCCAGACACCGGCAGGCGAAGGTCTGAAGGTTAGGTCTGCAGAATGTGTCGGAAGCATGAGCTGAGGATTGTGTGTTGGATACCCCTGGATACCAGAAGAAGATGCCAGAGATGTATGCAGCACACAAGACTGCCAGGGCCATCGAGAGCAGTTGATTGCATCTCCGAGAAGACATGCTTATATAGGTCGTGGGCTTCAGGCTATCAAATATCATCGTTCAGTGCAGCAATCCTCGGAGCAGGATGGGCTGCACGGATGACATTGCGGAGACCTACTTTGCTCTGGCACAGCAATCGCCGCTGGGATGGTCCAACGAGGTGGATATCCGACCCTTCCAGGACTCTCTGAAGAGCTTGTTCGTGATATGTCTCGAAGAGTGTCGGTGAAGTGCTCATCAAAAACGAATCTGCGCAGTGTAGCTGCCCAAAGTCCTCCACCGCATCCCGTGCAGAGCAAAGACGAGGAGACAGCGATAGTAGTTCCATTTCCATTTCGCTGGCATAGAAGTGTTGTCTCCGAAGACCGAGTGCCATTTACTCCCACCCAACGTCTGAGACCTTGAGCCGGAACCTGTAACAGGTACGAGCAAGATTCCATGGTAAGCATTCCCTTAACATTCGGTGGAGCTTGTTGAGTGTGCATTCCCGTAGAGGAGGGATGGTCCTGCTGACGAAGGAAGGCGAGATTCATCCCTGAGAGTGAGTCGGGCTCATGAGTTGGCTCCCATGAGCCCGACCCAGAGGCTGCCTGCCATGGTCCAGAACAACTGGTTCTTGGAAGGTGCAGATCGCAAAGACGGCGCACTTGCAGGACCGTTTTCCTCAGTACTCAGCATGAGACCTGCGGTAGCTTGCCCAAGAACCGGTGACCTAACCGGTGCTTGGGCAATCGATTGAAAGAGCGGTCATGTTGAATTGTGCTGGGATTGCTGTGCGAGTTGAATTGACACGTCTTTGTCCGTTGGCAGCGCTGAGAGGGAGAGGCCCCCCATGCTTGAGGGCGATCGTCGCACCATAAAGACTGTTTATCTGGAAGGCGCCGCAAGATTAGTTCTTTCGGCAGCTGCTCGGGCCAGTTTTCGTCCGCTTTTTGCTGTGATGAACTTGAGGTGATGTCGAATCTCGTGTTCATCGCCAGCACTTTGATGCCGGGAATCTCAGGGTTATTAAAGACAAATCGATCGGTTAGGTATCCCGCTGTGCCAACGTGGCGGATCCTAGATTGTGAGCCAGTGAATTCAGTCAGTCGTGAAGCTTTAAGGTCCGACAGCAACAAGTAACAAGATGTTGTGCTGACCCTTGGGGGACAAACCCGAAGTTCCTGCTGGCCACCGCTTTCCTGGGGCGTGTCTGAGGTTCATCGTGACCGGGCTCATGCTGCCGCAGAAGGCCCTGTCACACCGACAGCTTCAGAGAAGGGCCAGGGGCTTCGAGAAGATGCGAGTGTTTGAGGTAACGTGAACCGGCCGACCGTAACAGAGCCGTGTAACAGAAACCTCCCACAACATCGTAACGCAAGCCAGCTGGTTCCTGTAACAGCGTGGGGACAGCCCCTTGAAACAGGAGCAGCGGTTTCGGGCTTAATGTGGGGTTCACATAGGCAGTAGCACGCTGTACGCTTTTGCATCCTTATATGGTGTTTCAAGGGGTGTATAAGGCATCTTAGGGCGTCCTCCTTTGCCTGCCCTCGGGGGACCGCTTTCGGTGCCCTACTTTGCGAGCATAAACGCTTCCTGCCCGGTTTCCGGTGGTGGTTCCGGCTACGCTGGTCGTCTGGTTGCTGTTGCCGCGGCCGCCCGTTTCTGTCACGAGTGTGTCCGTTACTCCCCAAACAGTTCCCGTTACTCCCCGCACCCAGAAGACGCAGGGAAGCCAACCACAACCCCCGACCCCTGGTGGAGGCACCGCCTACGGAGCTCGAGGTGGTGCGACCGCAGCTGCCTCAGGGATGGGTGGAGGAAGAAAAGAGGAGGAATTGATTCTGCCAGTCGTTCGAATTCTTGCGAGCAGCATCGTGGGATTTGGCATTACAGTTGCGAATGGTTGCATCATAGCCGCCAGAGAAAGTTCTGAGCGTTGGAAGTTCGCCTTCCCGACCGTCGATGTGGGGCTGGCATGCAGCGCATGGTGGTGTGGCGTACATACTGCAATTACTACAGTACTGTAGGGTTGCTAGAGTCTACAATTAAGTCTACAACCTGAGGGCTCAAGAAGACTACGAGACACGCTGGCAGCCGTGGGGTAACGTTTGCCCGAGCGATGTGAAGCTTCTCACCAGTAGAAGCGCTAGGCGTGACTTGAAAGGCGTCAGATGCGACCGAGAGCCCTTTGACTCGCACCTGCACTTCGCCGCAGCCGCCGGCCATGCAACTCTCTTGATTGAGTACTCCACCCAAGGCGCGGCCTGCTGGCAGCTGCTGGAATCCTGATCTTCAGCCCGGCAGGATGGCCCCTTCACAAGACGCAGTCGAGATACTTCCAAGACCAAGAACTACGAATACAGCACACACACACACACAGGGAGGGCACACATGCACTCAGTTGCTGACCTGACACCACTCGGCTCTTCATGAGTCTCCGGAGAGTCTCCGGTGTGAGAGCATGTAGACAACATGACACCACGAGAAGGGGTTGAATGAAGTGAATGCATGCTGACTGGGCAAGATGCCTGCGCTGTTTGTGCCGTAGAGGCCATTCCACTCACTCAAAAAAGTCTTGCCAGGACACTCTTTCTATCCCCGGATCATCCAGCAAATGGAGGAGGGCAGAGTTTCTTCTGAGAATTCCCGCTTGTGTGGATTTCCCTTGCAAGTGTTCCATTTCGAGGCCGCCAGGTATATACCTGGTTACCTGCGAAAGCTCGGATTGCTTTTGTAGGGCATTCTAGGGACGAAGGATGTCCGAAGCATGTGACTAGTAAAGCATCGGACGTGCAATCTTTGCAAGGAACCGCAGAAGTTTACCAGCTGCATCAAATGGGCACCTCCTGCTTTATTGAAGCCTGCTCTTGAATTTGGATCTGGAGTTCCCTGACATTGAGACAAGACTTGGGAACGTTCGACCATCAGGAGAGTGGGAGTAGTCGGGAGTGGACTGGACCATGCAATCATCCTGCTTGCGGTTCCTTGCTCCGCATGGTTTAGCTTCACACTTGCCTGCAAGCCGGAAGATTCTTTGATTGACCCTGCCATGGAAAATTCACTCCTTTCTGGTGTCTCTCGTCCTAGCTCCCTGTTCGAACTTGGCTCAACCTCAAATGTCAAGGCTTTGTGCTTTGTAGCTGCAGCTGGCCCAGTTGGTTCGGTGCTGGAGCTGGCAACCAACACTCGCAGTCGTCGAGTTTGGCGTGCGCTGACGTCTGGATGCATGTACCCAGTCGCAGACTGCATACTCTGGCAGAAATCCTCGTTTCAGAACCGGACAGCTTACATGCCCCGTGACAGCTCTCCAGTCCCTGCAGCAACCAGCCACGAATCGCAAGTGTGGTGGTCACAGCCCCCAGCCTGAGCCAGGCCTATGCTGCGGCGTGCATAGTCTACTTGGGCATCGCAGTGCCTGGGTGCTGCCATTGGCAGTGAGGGTTAGAATGTTAGAAACTGTAGCAGAGCGCCGCATCAGGAGTCGAGTACCATCAATGTCGGAGGTGGTTCCAACACAGGTGCAGATGTAAATTACCATCAGCCGGACATGAGCATTTTCTGCGGCCTCAGAACAGGTACTACCTCTTCGGCACAGCTGCGCAGCCCTCTGCTGTTCGAAACATAGGACGGCTTCGGCCAGTGAGGTCTTAAAAATCCGAGACCCTGTGTTTGTTTAGAGACGCAGGCTTGCGGAAGACTTGACAGTAGCTTCAACAGCGGTGGGGCTAACTTCAACAGCGGTGGGGCTAACTGTGCCTTGCTGTGACGACAGCACAGTCGACAACTTGACAAAGACGCTTGGTAGGGCTCCGGGGTTGATTTCAGCATCACCGCATCCCAGAATGCATCCTATTCTCGAAGCGAATCGCGGACATCTTAAGTTCTTAAATTTTGCAGCCCCTCACAACACACGGTGGGCCAGCGTCAGGGAGCCCACGCACGTCCGCGTAGGCGTAGACCGCATCTCATCAGGAGCTGATCGTCAGCTTGTGCCTTTGCCGGATCTGTGGTGGCCTTGCCTGGCTCAATGACATTTGCACTTTGGGCAAGCCAGGGTGTCTAGCGAAGTGGCATGTTGTCGTGTAGATTGGATTCATTTTCTCGGGTGTGGAAGCCTGAAGGCAGAAGCTTTCGGAATGCTGGGATGTGAGAGAACACTGCTGCAGGTACGGCAGTGCGAGCCCCATACCACTCCGTGCCCCAAGCACATCACACCGTCTTTACTGCAGCTTTTCTGTTTGAGCTTGACCCAGACATAGATTGAAAGCAAAACCCTTTCGTGTGGGATGATTACAAGTAAGTAGATCTTGCCCCACCACCGAGTTGTGGCTCTCGCTGGCAGCGCCAGGTGGATGAACACCGCAGCAGCACTGGGGCTGGTGATCAAGCTTATCCCGAACCAGGCGATGTCGGGGAATTGCTGGGCTGCACCGGCCTTGACGTTGGATCCCTCTGAATTTGTACTCTTGCAGGACGCATAGATGGCAGCTCATACAGCTATTTTTTTCGGATAACCTGAGTCCCAGCCAATCCAACTCGAGTGCAGAAGGTCTCGCGATGGTAGCAGTCCAATCTGTTGCAATCCGTTTCTTCAGACCCTACATCCTGGTTGCAGACTGTAAAGTATAAATGCTCTGTTCTGGTTGTATGCATGCATGGATGCATGGATGTATGAGTGTATGCTAATGTACGCATGTATGACTGTCTGTGCATATGCGTGTACGCGTGTCTGTATGCATGCATGCGTGGATGTATAGTAATTATGTACGTTTGTGTTACATACATGGGCACTCACATTAACATGCAGATGCATACATACATGCATACTTACACACACGGACAGAGACGCACAGGCTGAGACAGAGACAGACCGAGACAGAGAACAGACAGAGAAACAACCAGAGAGACAGACAGAGAGACGCAGACAGACAGACAGACAGACAGACAGACTGACAGACAGGCAGGCAGGCAGGCAGACCGACCGACCGACAGACAGACAGACAGACAGACAGACAGACAGACAGAGAGAGAGACAGAAACAGACAGAGAGACAAAATAGCCAACCAAATGTGGTGCGCATGCAAAGTTCGATGGCACGGAGAGTTGGGCTTGTCAGTGGGGGAACTGCGAAAGCTCATGAGGAGCGATGTTGCAAAGCCGGGGGAGAGCACTGCTGTTGCTGTCCAAGTGAACCCTCCTGGCAGCCAGAGCGGGGGAAATGCTACGGAGACCTCGCACCTACAAGTCGTCAAGACAGAAGAAGAGTCACCAGACTGGACTGACCCAGCGTTGGACGAGCCGTGGGCGACTCCACCGATTTCAACGGTTTTCTACGATGTGGATACAGCGGGCCTCCGCAAGCAATGGGGGATGCCGGCCGAGCCAGGGGAAGCGCCGAGCTCCTCAAAAGGAGGATCTCGCCCAGCGGGGGAAGCGATGCCCAATCAAGCTGGGGAAGACGAGCTGGTCAGCAGGGTCCTCATGGACCTCCAGTATACTGAAGATGAAGATGGTCAGGTTACAGTGCCCGT